GCAGGATCTTGCTTGCATGTGATATCAATGATATCACTTCTGAAATTACAGGCCTTCGAAAACCCTGTGTACAATAGAGCACACTTAGATTATCATTTGGACTAACAGACATGGCAATTGAAACTGAGATCTTAGAAATGGAAACACTGAGAAAGAGAAACAGCTGTAAGGAGACACTAGTGATTGGAATGTGGAATGTGAGAAGCACGAATACGAATGTAGGAAAATTGGACATTGTTAAGAAAGAAATGGAACGCATAAATATTGACATACTGGGTATTGGCAAAATGAGATGGCTTGGCATGGGACATTTTGAATCAGACGATTATATGATTTACTATGCTGGGGATGGAAAGGTGAGAAAAAATGGGGTTGTTTTATAATTAAAAATATCATTTCTAGATCTATCCTGAAATATAATGTGGTGAGCGATAGGATAATATCCATATGCATACAAAGAAGTCCAGTGAATACCACTATCATTCAAATATATGCACCAACAACCAACGCCAAAGAGGAGGAAGTAGAAGATTTTTACCAACTTTTGCAGTCAGAAATTGATCAAACATGCAATCAAGATGCATTAATAATAATGGGCAACTGAAACGCAAAAGTTGGGAACAGGGAAGAAGGATCAGAAGCTGGAAAACATGGGCTTGGTGAGAGAAATGAGACTGGAGATAGAATGATAGAGTTCTGCACATTCAATGATTTATTCATTGCAAATACTTTTTATAAGAAACATAAACGCAGGCTATACACATGGATTTCACCTGATGGTATATTTTAAAAGTAGAAATCCTATAACTTTTACTAAAAAAAGTCTAACACAAGTATAAGCCCTAATGACCCCTCCCAGGCTGGGACGCAGTTTTTTATAGGACCTTCCCAGATTTTTGAAAATGCTTCGGCTATTGCCATCCATTTGCCTTGTTGGCAACTGACTCCAGAAAGAATCCCTTCATTCAGTAACACCAGCTCCTGACCTTCTGGTCAGTGGCCTAATCCTCACCCCACTGCGCCACCAGGGCTCCTCTGGGAGTCCAAGGTGCCTGTGATCTGTCCAGGAGGCTGATGAGTTGGTAGCATAAGGAGGTTCTCTAGGTTCCTGCTGGCCACTATGAGTCCAGTGGCCAGAAGCAGCCAATGATAGGGTGGTATTAGTAAGTTCAGAATTCTCTATATAGGTATCAGTTATAAAACTGTAGTTCTTTTTCTTCAGCCTGGAAAACTAGTTGCTTAGCCTCCGAATTCTCGGTTTCCTGTCATGTAGAGTAGTTTGATCTGTCTGTTTGTGGGAGGAGGAAATGCATCTGTCCTAGATGCTGGTGAAGCTGGTTCTCCAGTCATATGTAAATTGTATCTTAACCTGCCTGTTTACCAGGAGGAGAACTGGGGCCTTCCTGAATCACTGACACATAGTTGGGAACTGTCCTTTTCAGATGTAGAAATGGCCCTTTTTTATTGACAAAAGTGCGTTGTTAAATGAGGTAGAGTTTCACTCTGGTATAAAACTTGATGGGGAGCCAGTAGCCAACACAGGGGATAAGAATGCTGACCTAAGATTGCTGAACAGAAGACTTCAAAAGGCAGCTCAAGAAGACAAAGTAAAACGTGCACAGTGCTGGGTTTGGCATTTCTGGAGCCGAAAGAACCAAAGAACAAATTCAAGTATCGCGTTGTAACATGGAAGGATTTGTTGGGCAAAACCTTGAATGAAGCATCTATGGTGGATGGAAGTGACTGTACCAAAAAAGAATGACTTGGAACTAAAATAATATTTAGGTATGTCTCAGAGAAGGTGCAGCCAGAGTGCTTGTTGGAGGCCAAGATGGTAAAGTTTTGTCTCACATCTTTGAGGATGTTGCCAGCAGAGGCTGTTCCCTGAAAGGCCCATCATGCTTGGAAAGATGGAGGGACTGCAAAACAGAAGGTCAAGCAGGTGAAACGACACAGTGACGGCGGTAATGGACTTGAGGGTGTCAGAGCTTGTGAAGCTGGCACAGGAGAGGACAGGGTTCAGATCTGTCGTTTATAGAGTCACTAGGAGTCGCAT